TCTTAATCAATTATTGATCAGAATTATCTGTCCTTTCCTCATGTGTCTTTTTTAAATTCCCGTAATGAATTTTCTTTGCTTATCAGTTTAATACCATAATTTAAAGATAAAGCAAAAGCAGGAGGGTAGTTTACTTTTAAGCCTATAGTGTGGACACAAGTGAAGACTTTATGGGAGAATTTATCTGTCTTGATGTTTAAATTTCTTAAAACAATCAAGATTTTTTTGGTCATACCTGACAGAGGGAAGGAATATAATCACATTTTACTGTAGGAATTTCATATCATTTGCATCTAGTTTCTAGGTCACCTATAAGTGAGGTCACTTTGAGGGAGGGTTATGGTTACGAGGAGGATAGTAATGGCCAAGAGATTTATCCCAGCAGTTTATCAGCTGTGCAAATTACCATTATGTTTTTATAAATGCCTCTAATTTCTCTAACATGTTTTGCTCTGTTTATGAATTTCAGTGGGCTTCTAAAAGTAGTTTGAACTTGTAGATTTATTTACCAGGCTGCATTATTTTCAGTGAGTGATCCTGAGTAAAAGAAGTTTCTGGTGACATGTTATTCTTTACTTTTCTTGCATCTAGCAGTAATATAGCTACAGGCATGATTAATGGGAGATTTTGTCCTCTGTGCCAAAAATTAACTTATGGAACCTCAAAATGATTGTTACTAAGTGTTTAAGTGGACTAAGGTTAGTTGAACAGAGCATCATTACCCAGATCTAAGTGCTAAAGAACACGATTTGAAAAACATTTATCATAATGTGATAGATTACATATAAATAATTGTGTGTGTTTCCTATGCTCTAAAGTGTTTTCATCTTAAGCATAATGGTCACATGTTATTTCTTGTTTCTAGTTTTGTCTCCTGGTCTGCAGTGTGTGCACATTTTTTACAGTCTTGGGAAGTTATGTTCCTGGGGTTATACTCAGCTATCTACTGTGTAAGTATAGTAGGACATTTGGCTAATTGACGTGATGCATATGGTATCATTTAATCGTCCCAAGACCTTTCATAGTTTGGAAGAGAGAAATGAGTTCTTAATTATGAAGCAGGTTAATTATTCTTTAATTTCCTGCGGTACAAAGTTTCTCCTTTTCCTAGAGACGTGTTTATATTTTTAAATTGGAAGAATACTTGCCAAAAGGCAGTGCTTAATTTTATTTTAAATTATGTCAATAAATAAGCTGTACTTCCACCCTCCACAAAAACACTAATTACTTTATCCTTGTGTGTGTTCTTTGGCTCAAAAAATAATTAAAACCACAATAAGATACCATTATACCTTCACCAGAATTGTTAAAATTAAAAATGCTGACTATATCAAGTATTAGCAAGGGTGTGGAGAACTGGAATTCTCACATACTGTTGGTGGGTAGGTAGAATGGTACAGCCACTTTGGATAACAGTTTGGCAGTTTTTTAAAAACTACTATATGACCCAGCCATTCCACAGCTGGAGAAATGAAAGCATATATCTACACAGGGACTTGTAAATGAATGTTCATAGCAGCTTTATTTGTAGTAGCCAAAAATGGAACACACTTCTTATGTCCGTCAACAGATGTATGGATAAACAAACTGGATATCCATACAATGGATTACTACTCAGCACTGAAAAATTAATACATGCACCAGTCTAGATAAATCTCAAAATAATTAGATTGAGCGGGAGAAGCTAGATAAAAAAGAGTATATACTGTATGATTCCATTTATATATAATGCAAACTTATCTTTAGTGACAGAGCAGATCAATGGGGATGAGGTAGGTGGGGTCGGGGAAAGGCAAGAGGGAAGGATTAACAGAAATATGAGGAAACTTGTAAAGGTGGTAGATATGTTCACTATCTTGATTGTGGTGAGGTTTTCTTAGTTGTATGCATATTTGAAACCTTATCAAATTGTTCACTTTATGTGCAATTTATTGTATGTCAACTATAACTCAAAAATGCTGTAAAAAAAAAACGTAGATCTCCTGCTTCTCCTGAAAAATGTGAAAATCTGGTGCTGGAGTGGTGAGCTCTCTGCACTTAATTAACCCTCATATTTCCCTATTTTTCTTACATCAGCTTTTAAAATTTACATATATCTCCTTGGCTTCTACAGATATTTGAGTTTGCAACTCCTATTTAAAGGGTAAATGGGCACATTTCCTAACAACAATGAAGAAATAAACAGAAGAGAATACAATACATTCAGTGTGGCAATCTTCATTTCTTTTTGTATTCCTAATGCATAACACAAATGGCAAATGGTCCAAGCTCATCCATTCTCCCAAATGTAACTCATATAGAATATTGGCCTCTTGATCTGCCTTGTTTAGGAAGTAAAGGAGAAGAGAACCAGTGAAGGAGAGTCTAATACGGGCAAGGCTTTATTCAGGTGGTTTGCGTTCATCTCATTTATTCTTCACTACAACAATGTTATCCCGATATCTTCACAATATTATCCCAATATTACTGATGAGAGGCTAATGGATTAGTAATAACTTTCCTATGGTGAAAATGCACTTAACAAATAAGTAGAGTTGAGATTTTAATCCAGAACTGTTGTCTGGAAAGCATGAATCTTTGTATATACATTTTGAGGGTAAAAGGATTGAAGGGGGGGAATTGATCTAATTGTAAGTCTTTGAAAACAATAACTATAAGCGTGGGTGTGTGTGTAGGAGAAAACGTTTTCATTGCAGGGAGAAGAATAGAAATTATGAACTTATTTGACAAAGGCATTTCCCTAAGAAAAAAACTTCTTTTTGACAGTAGGGGAACTGAAATATTTTTGTGAAATACTAAGATGTAGCCTTCTGAAAGGAAGGTCATTTTACCTACATTCTCTTCCTTCTTATGTTTCAGTACTGTGTGCATTTTTGTGTCCACTTTTTAAGTGTAATGATATTGGACAAAAAATATACAGCAAAATCAAATCAGTTCTGCTGAAACTAGATTTTGGAATTGGAGAATATATCAATCAGAAGAAACGTGAGAGATCTGGTAAGTAAAGTTTGAATTTTAGATTCCATGCATGAAATGAGACATTCATGGGCTATTTATGATGAAATCACTTTCCATACATTTCAGGGTGTTTTAGCCTTTTACTGCATTGTAACATAGCCTTTTCCTATTTTGGGTTTTATCTTTTCTCAAAAGTACAATAAATTGACTTTTTAATCCAAATTGTCAGGGGAAGGAGAAAAGGATTCAACAATTTTATATTTGCTATTTATGATTTACTTTTTAAAATTGTTTTATTTTGGGGTGGACTACTGCAAATAAAAAATGACACAGGGAGGGCTAAGAGTGTGAGAACCATATTAAGAGGGGAGCGAAAGAACAGGACAAGGAAAAAAAAATACAGGAAAAACCAATGTGGTCATTTTTCACTTTTTAACTTTGCCTATGACTTTATAGATTCTCAAACTATAGCAAGCATCACAATTGCCCTAGAGGGCTTATTAAAGGATAGATTTCTGGACCCTACCTCAGAGTTTCAGATTCAGTAGGTCTAGGGTAAGACCCAAGGATTTGCATTTCTAAAAAGTACACATTGGCGGTGCTGACACTGCTCGTTCAGGGGCCACACCATGAGAACCACTGATGTGGACCATTTCCCTTGGAAATCAAACATTTGCAAATATGTGAAACTTGTTATATGCAAACATTTAATTATATGGAGGCATTGGAGAATATGAGGAATGGGGGTAAGGATATATAATGGATAAAATACACTGTGTCTAAGCGGGCCAGGAAACTGAAAGCGTCCACATTTTTTCTCAACAGAAGCAGATAAAGAAAAAAGTCACAAAGATGACAGTGAATTAGACTTTTCAGCTCTTTGTCCTAAGGTATTTTTTGTTTAGTTTTCAATTTCTTCCTGTGTGGTTTGACTGTACGTTTATTTACATGTACTAAGGCTGAATGATTTTTCTAATAGAACCCTCCTGTTTCTCTAAGATGATTGAACAATTTCAAAAGGAAAATACTCATCTGGTTTTTATTATTCTGACATTTTTGGTGTTAGAATGGAGTTTGCAAAAGATTTTCCACAGAAGCTTAAAATGTGCCACCGGTGTTTATGTTAACACAGATTAGCCTCACGGTCGCTGCCAAAGAGTTGTCTGTGTCTGACACAGACGTGTCCGAGGTCTCCTGGACTGACAATGGGACCTTCAACCTTTCAGAAGGATACACTCCACAGACAGACACTTCTGATGGTATGCTGACATTTCTAGATACCCTGATTTTTATTAGTATGAGTGCATGCAAAAATATTTAACTCTGTTAACTGCTGAATGGATAAACACAGTGTGGTATATCCGTACAATGGATATCGCTTGGTTACCAAAAGGAAGTACTGATACTTGCTACAGGGGTGAACCTCGAAAACATTAGGCTAAGTGAAAGAAGCCAGACCCACAAGTCCACATATTGTATAACTCCATTTATATGAAATGTCCAGAATAGGCAAATCCAAATAGATGGAAAGTAGATTAGTGGCTCCTAGGGGCTAGGGGAAGAGGGAATGGTGATGACTGGTACTTAGTATGAGTTTCTTTCTGGAGTGATGAAAATGTTCTAGAATTAGACAGTGGTGATGATTGTACAGCTTTGTGTCTATATTAAAAACCACTGACCTGTACACTTTAAAAGTACTTTATCGTATATGAATTATATCTCAAAAGCTATTATTTAAGAGTTGGGAGGGCAAAAGGGGTGATTAGACTCACATGTGTGGTGATGGACTATAATTAGTTTTTGGGTGGTGAACATGATGTAATCTACACAGATTTTGAAATATATTACAATGTACATCTGAAAGCTATATAATGTTATAATCCAATGTTACTGTAATAAAATTAAAAAAAAAAAAGAATTTACTATGTATCAGGCATTGTGCTAAAGCCCTGGAGATACAGTGGTCAGTAAGATGATTACTGTTTCTGACATCACAGAACATAAAATTTACCATTAAATTTTACAAATATGAAGGTGCTTACCAATTCCTCTTAGTCTGTAGTTTAAAGAATTATGTGGGAACACAAGTGTATAAAATTAATGAACTGCCCCCTGCAAAAAAAGAGAGAAAAACTTAAGCCAGTCCATGTCCAAATCTGCCTTTATTTTGAAAACAAATAATTAACAGTCAAAAAAGTTAACTTCTGAAATGTCTGGTGGCATTGTTTATAGATAATGGGAGGAGGAGAGAGAGAAGTTAATTCCCCGTGTCCAGGGCTGGTCCTCATTGAAAGAGACGGGAACATGGAGGGCAGCTTCTCCGAATCCAAATCGGACTCCCAAGTTTCCAATGTTCTTCCTCAAAGTTAGTTTAAACAAACAAAAACCCAACCAAACAAAAAAAGGCTTGTTTTATAATTAGGTTAAATACAATTTAAAATAAATTGAGACAGTTCTTGTGCAGTAACTTACCTTTTGCTGGTCTCATTGGATTATTTCAAGTCTTTTTAGCTATATACTGAAAATATGAGCAGTTTATAATGGAGGATTAGGAATAAATTGTTGTATATGTATTTTCACAAGCAAGCACACATCTTTTTTTCAAGAGGAAGGAGGGAGGCTGGGCAAGGTTTGAAAGAAGATAGGTTTGGAGATTGGGAGACCCAAATGTAGTCTTGCCTTTGTCATTAGTTAACTGTGTGACCTTGAACAGGTGACATAATTTCTGTGGACCTCAATTTCCACATCTTTAAAGTGTTTTAGGACAGGATCACTGAAGTCTGCTGAAGCTCTACAAGCTCTAAATATCGACGAGACCAGGATAACAAACACTTTGTTTTTAAGCATCTCATCTCAGATTTACTCAACAAAGGGGACAACAATAATCTACTCCACATATGAGGCTTTTCATTAAAAATACATTGAAGATTTCAAATCACTGTTGTAAAAAGTTAACTAAAAGATTTTCTATGAAAAGTGAAAAACAATAAAATCACTGTGTACTAATCTGATGTTGCTTTTAAATGTCCCAAATTTTAAAGTGTTCCTATAGGATATAGTCAGGATGCGAGTTTGATTAAAATGGTATGGGCAATTTCAGCTATATTTCTGGAAAGCCAAATGCTTCCATAAGCTCTTAGATTGAATATGGAATAGAAGGAGTAGCCTCTTTTAAGTTCATTGCTTTAAACAAACACAGGTCACAGATAGTCAAATAGGTCTCCATGGATGAAAATGCTGAGGCTGGATAATATTCATTCACCATCTGCTCTACCAGAATCCATGAAAAATTCCCATTGAAATATTTTTTACTTTGTGATCATACATATCCACATTGGCTTAAGCTAATTCCCTCCCCATGGGGAGGATAAAATTTTTGTTTATGGTAAACATTTAAACATTAGTCAAAGCTTCAAGCTAACACGAGACAGGTTGAATATTAAGTCATTATATACACTGTTTTGTGCTTAAGAGGAAAGCTAAAGACTCGGGAGCGGGGGCATGTAGTGTTTGTGTATTTGTGGAGGAACAGTGTCCCAGATTTGGGAGGGGTCCAATATGTGGTTAAATTGATTTAACCTGAAACGGGAGGCTGGATGAATACCAAGGTTGCCCAGAGGGTTCAGATTAAAATCAGATATCTTTTAGACAGCTCTTTAATTTCAAATTTATTACGGTACTTACGCTTCAAATTTCTGTTATACATTTCACAGATCTTGACCGACCTAGTGAGGAAGTTTTCTCTCGAGACCTTTCAGATTTTCCATCTCTAGAAAATGGCATGGGAACAAATGATGAAGATGAATTAAGCCTTGGCCTGCCTGCTGAGCTCAAGAGAAAAAAGGAACAGTTGGACAGCAGTCTCAGACCGAGCAAAGAGAGGCAGTCCACAGCTGGGCTCACCCTTCCTCTGAGCAGTGACCAAACCTTTCACTTGATGAGCAACCTGGCTGGGGATGTCATCACAGCTGCTGTGACGGCTGCTATCAAAGACCAGCTGGGGGGCGCACAGCAAGCACTTTCCCAGGCTGCACCCGGCCCAGGAGAAGACACAGATACTGAGGAAGGTGATGACTTTGAACTCCTTGACCAGTCAGAGCTCGATCAAATTGAGAGTGAATTGGGACTTTCACAAGACCAGGAAGCAGAAGCACAGCAAAATAAGAAGCCTGCAGGCTTCCTGTCTAATCTCCTCGGAGGCCATTAGCCTGTGGATCAACTTGTACAACAGAGCACAGATAAACTACCAAAAAATTTCAAACAAGCAAAAAAAAAAAAACAAAACAAAAAAATTTTTTGAACTGTGAGCTTTACTGATTACTTTAGATTTTTTTTGGTCTTATTTTCCCTTCTGCGGTGAATTAATTGGATATATATCAGCTGACACTGATAGATTGATATTTCTGAGTTATTTTTATGTAATAGGCATGGAAATGAACTTTATATATACACATACACACACACTGTGTTGTCAGAGATGAAAATTAGGGGTTGTTTTTAAAGCAAAAAAACCCCACCAAATTATTGAGATCTTCCTATAAGTATTCCTTATTTTTTCTTTACAGTTAATTTTTCAAGCATGCAAAAAGTTTATTGTAACTCACTGAAATATTAACAATTAATTGTGAATACATGCTGTATCAGCTCCTTTGTTCCTAATACTTGGAAATAGTTAAAAATTCTTGGTAGATTTTGCTGTAAAAAGACAAAAACTATCAAGATATCTTTAGTTGAAGGACTTGGGAAATACTATCAAAATTAATTTCCTAGGAAAATTTTAAAAAATATATTTAACTACTTTGGATAGGCTGATACATTTCCATGTTATTTCTGCAGTTATAGACTTAGGCTTACTTGTAAATGGCATGCTCCATTGACTGCCAGCTCTAGTCTTGCATTGAGTGGTATTAACTCATAGAAAGCAAGTAATTAATTATATATCACATCGATGGTGATTTTGATGTAAACAGATTGGGCTGTGTTTTGTTGTTCAATTGTCATGTATTTGTAATAGGGATATTTTGGGTGCAGATCTATTCTGCCTGCTCAGACCTAGGCTAAACCCTCATCTTTCATATTATGTCATAGAAAAAGTCTCTCATTAAAATTGTGAAACTAGTTTCTAGTAGGCTGTGTGAGTGCTGTGGTCATCAGCAGTAGAGAAACAGTAACTGTTTTTGTAGTCGGTCTAGACTCCCCTACAGGAGAGAAACTTGCTTGGCTTTAAATTGTATTTATTTGCCATTGAAGTCTAAATATGTAATCTGTTTCTTATTGGGAAGCTAGAATATATTTTTCCTTTATTTTAAACTTTTTAGATCACCTTTAAATAACCAAATTTGACTTAGGTTTTTAACAAAGGACTAAAGAGCATAAATCAAGCTAATTTCGTTTTTGTCATATAAACTTTTAATGGTGTTGAGGGACCATGTCAGCAACTACCAACAATCTCTTCAATCTTCAGGTACAGCTGGCATTTCTACAGATGCATACAGACACCTGAGACCCTCAGACAGGAAGGATAATCCAAGAATACAGGAAATCTCTGGCCCCCTCCCTTCATTTTATCCCTTTCGTTGTATTTCTAAAGACTAATTATAGGTAATCTGACATTTTAATGTAGCACCTCTTATTTATTTATTTTTCTGAGGTATTAAAATATCTAGACCGAATTTTGCCAAACGTTAAAGGGAGAGAAGTTACTGAAGACTTTGAACACTTGCTTTTCGTGATGACTATGCTTATATGTCATTAGTGCCTCATGACTGTGTTTGATGTCCTTTATGAATACAAAGTGAGCCTGTGCCTTCATTATCTTGCCCATTTTGGTACAAATGAAAACCTGATGTTAGATCTACGAACTGTGTGGGTTTGGGAGGAATATATCTGAATCTTATTCAATAAGAGTTTCTGGACATGAAGAAAAATACAGTCACATATTTATAAAATAGTTATCAGGATTCTTTTTTTTAACGTGTGTTTCTTCATTTAAAAAACGTTCTTGGCCATGAAGTCAAAAAGTTTAAAGGTCATTTCAATTTCTTCATTGACGGGAAAACAAGAAGTTAAATAATCCAAGTAATTAAAGAATGTGTTACAAGTAACTGGAAAATCCTACGAGAAGATAAACTCGAGAGTCGATGGTATGAACAATAAAGCTAGAATCAAATGTTATAAACTATAAATTAAAAGGGCTTTGGAGATGGGGAGGGTGATAGGGTATAAAAATGTGTTACTATTGTATGGAGGGAACATAGAAGCTTTCCATGGACAGTACATTATCACCTTATATGCACTTCAATATCATTTGTTGAAGAATATATGTGATTACAAATTTACACAATGCACTAATGGTACTCTTAATTCAAACATACATAGGGATGTTGAGGGTTTTTGTTGTGTGTGTGTGTGTGTGTGTGTGGTCTTTGAGGCGACAGGGCATTATATGTAGTCCTTTTTCTGGTTTTAGGATACAGTAACAATAAACCCTGTGATTGATCCTGCACAGTAGGAGACTACAATTCCCTTCTCATGAGAATTTATGCAGTCATTAAAATGTGAAGCATGGATTTTTTTTTTTTAATTATAGAGGAGTTGTAGAAAAATGTTTTGCTCACTTCCTTTAGAAAATGTTGAGCAAAACCATACAGTGGGAATAGCATACATTGATCATGCATTTTGATCTGAAACAGTAAAGCAGGACTCAAAAAGTTCCAGTTTGCTTTGGAAGGTCAATCCAGGCTTAAAGTAGTGTCTATATTCTCATTCTGAAACATCTTTGCTTTTTCCTTATCCTAAAAATCTTAAAAAGTGATTTTTTAAAAGATGCCCCATCCCCAGTTTAGTAGAATACTAAGAAACGAAACTTTTATAAGCTTTTGCAGTTGGCAAACATCCTCAACATATTTAGGCATCTCAATCTTTTATTTGAAATAAGTGCAACTTTCTTCCTTTTTTAAAAAATGGCAAATGCTGGCATACTACTGATTTTGGGCAAGAGCAAATATACACTTAAACAGATGTAAACGTTTTCCTTTCCTGTTTACAATTTAGGTTGTTGTGGTTCTTTACACTGCTCCAGCTCTGTTAGTTACAAGAGAGGAGATTATTCTGAAAACTCTTAGTAAACTACTGTTGTCATATGTCATTTGTATTGTGATGAAGTTAGAAAGTTTCAGAACCATATTTTTGTGTATTATTCCTCCATTTCCACTGCAGCATTTAAGTTAGGATGGAATGTTGGAAATATGAGTTCTGGTTCTGATGTTAATCTCATGGCCTTGAGACACAATTGTCAAAGTCACATAACATCCCCAAACCACCACCTCAGTTTTCCCAATCAAAATTAGGAAGCAATTCTTATCCTGTCACACAGGGATGTTTTGAGAATGAATGAAAAAAAAAGTGAAGCACTCTCTGGGGGGAAAAAAGCTATATAAAACCAAAATAGTGATTTTTTTTCCTACCTGTGTTTCAACTAAGCCTTCTTTTTAAACATTAAAGTCAATCCACAAGTACCTACTTACAAGAAAACTCTAAGTTTCTTTTAATGGGTCTAGCACTATATTGGCCTCATAATCCAATAAATGCTGTGGAATAAAAGGATGAAAAGTGTTGCAAAAACATCTCTTTCAGTTGACTGGACCACATGTGAGGTTCTACACTAATCATTTTTAATGGTTCTAACACTTACTGGATGTGGGACTCTTGAGTAAGTCACCTAACACCTCTGTACCTGTTTCCTTCATCTATAAAATTAAGACATAGCACCTACTTTATAGTATGTTGTAAGGATTAAATTTTTAAGACTGGGGGTAGCAAACTGTGGCCTGTGGGCCAAATCTGGCTTGCCACCTGTTTTTGTATGGAATACCAGCTAAGAATGATTTTTCACACTTTTAAATAGTTGGAAAAAATCAGAATATTTCATGATATGAAAAATATATGAAACTTAAAATTCAGCATCCATAAATAAAGTTTTATTAGAATATAGCCATACTCATTTATGTACTGTCTTGCTTTGATGCTATAACAGAAAAGTTGAATAGTTGTGACAGACACCATAGGCCTAAAAAGCCTAAAATATTCACGATCTGGCCCTTTATAGGAAAAGTTTGCCAATCCTTGGTCTAATAGTAGAAAACACTCAATTACAGTTAGGATCATGCATAATCCTCATGACTCTACAAGTAAGTTGTGTTAAGAGCATTTTTCCGAAGGACAGGGTTAAATGAATTATCGGAAGTCACATGGCTAGTAATGGGAAAAGCCAGTTTGACCGCAAAGCCTATTCTCTTTCCAATATGTCACATTATCTAATATTTTTGGTTTTCTTTTTGTATATTAAGAGGGGCTGGCTCCGTGGCCGAGTGGTTAAGTTCACGCGCTCTGCTGCAGTGGCCCAGGGTTCGGATCCTGGGCGCAGACATGGCACCGCTCGTCAGGCCACGTTGAGGTGGCGTCCCACATCCACAACTAGATGGACCTGCAACTAAGATATACAACTGTGTATGGGGGTGGGGGGGGGGGGTTGGGGAGATAAAAAGCAGAAAAAGAAAAAAAAAAGAAGATTGGCAACAGTTGTTAGCTTAGGTGCCAATCTTTTAAAAAAGAAAAAAGAATTTCTCTTTAAAAGAATGATCATAATTTTAAATAGTTTAACAGAATTTCACTAAATATTGAAGACTGATTTTATTTGATTTAGATTTTTTTAAAAAAAATCCAGAAACCAGCTGATCTATGTTTTTCCAAATGCTGTAATAATCAGGTTTTGCTGTAAATTCCAA